TATTTTATTTATTATTTTTATTTTATGTGTGTATTGCCTGCATGTACATAAGTGTACCCATGTCATGCAAGGACAGAAGAGGGCGTTGGAGCCCCTGGAACTGGAGTTACAGACAGTTGTTGGCTGTTATATTGGTGCTGGGATTTGAACCCAGGTCTTCTGCAAGAACAACCAATGCTCTTAACTGCTGAGCCCTCTCTCCAGCCCCCTGACTTGGATTTTAACAGGATTGCCCTGGCTGATGGGTGGAGGAGTATGAACAAACACAGCGAGTTCAGCTCGGGTGCTTGGCCAGGTTATGATGTTGCGGTGAAAATATCCCTTTTAGATGTGGTTACTATTAATAATCAGTAGGCTTTGTTAAGCAGATTAACCTTCATACCAGGTGGGTGTGGGTATGGGCTTCAGTCAGTTAAAGGTCTTAAGAGCAAGTGAAAATCTCTCAAAGGAGTTTGAACTAGAGACTGAACATAGTGCTCTGCCAGTTTCCCAATGCTGCCCTACCCCACAGATCTCAGACTCAGCACTGTTTTCATCTGGGGGCTTCGTAGAGAACAGCTGCCAATAGCAAGAGAGACAACTGCAAGAAATGGGATTTTATTACTTACAGGTCCAGAGGGTCTGCTCCCAGAGGCCACAGATATATAGTGGTGAGGAATGGGGAATACGAGAGAGAGAGAGAGAGAGAGAGAGAGAGAGACAGAGAGAGAGAGACAGAGAGAGACAGAGACAGAGAGAAAGACAGAGAGAGACAGAGAGACAGAGACAGAGACAGAGGGAGGGAGAGAGGAGAGAGACAGAAGCAGAGACAGAGACAGAGACAGAGACAGAGAGACAGGTCCGTCCAAGGTTTTTGCTACCGCAGGTTTCTCACAGGGAGTTTTTACTGGTGGCTGTCAAACAGGCAGTACCGCTGGGTGTAGTGATGCACACCTATAGTCCCAGCATTTGGGATGTAGAAGCAGGAAGAGCTCTTTGAGTTCAAGGCCACCCTGGTCTACATAGCAAGTTCCAGGTCGGTCAGAGCTACATAGTGAGACCGTCTCAAAACAAAACAAAATGAAATGAAAAACAGCAACAACAGCAGGAGGCGGACACTGAGATGTGGATACTGTGACATAGCTATACTGTCCAGGCAGAGCGTAGGAGTCAGTAGGGCCAGTCACACAGCTATATTTAGCTGTCCCATGCAGAAGGGGTCACCAGGGAGCAGTTATCTAAGGCAGATATGTGGATCGATCACATTGGGGAACTAGGGGGAAGGGGTAAAATGAGAAGCTGTCATACTCTAGTGTGAAAACACCCAGCCTATATTTAAAGTAGGC